TTTTTTTTTTTTTTTTTTTTTTTTTTTTTGTGTTTATACGTATTTACTCAATAGCAGAATTCGCATTCTACATTTTGGCTTTTTAATAGAATTAATTATATGCATATTTCTAAAAGGGAGAGCACAAAATATCGAAAGTGTTCATAGTGGTTTCAGTTTTCATAATTTACAGCCATACACGTTGAATTCTGGTAATGCACAGTTTAAACTTCTAACAACGTCATAAGAAAAAATCTTTTTCAACAGCAGGAGTTAGGAGTTTTCTGGTGCCGATATTGAAAGTGTTTGTCAGTCTTACTGGTAAGATACGAAGAAAGTCAACAGAGTTAAAAACTAGTCAAACTTTTCAACTTATCAACAGCAGTCGGTTAACTGGCCTTTTCCAATTTGGCGAGAGGCATTATAGATGCATTCATTTTAGAGTATGTATGCCTTTGTCTTAGACAGGGCGTTTAGCATACTGGTCATATAATCGATCTTCAGGAGCTATCTGAATATTGGGTTGTGTAGACTGGGTGAAAAGCTCAGCACTGTGGAGTGGTTCATTGACAAGCATTGGTCCTTCGTCTGCTTCCAGTGGAATTTCGTAATAAAAGGGTTGTGGGGCGACAATAATTTCTCTTCTTGAGAAGCATGCGGTCATTGCTATTGTAATTGCCAGAAGAATACCGGCTATTATCATAATAAGCGTGCCCAGACCTTAAATATTGTAAAATATAATTACCATCATATTTTTTTACTTCTTTTTTATTTTTCGTTATTAAGCTACATTTATATTGATTATTTTTCTTTCTTTTTTTAGAAAAATGTTTTTTGATTCTATAGAAGACTTTTGAATTTATAGTTTGGTGTTTTTTTTATTTTTTCAACTCTGCTTATGTTTAATAGTAAACAGTAATTGCTTAGTTTCACAATATGCATATCAAAAACTTAATCAAGTTCTAGGGAGTTATGAAGAGTTTACAGCATCTCTGTCCAGGAGTCATTGTACCATTAGCTGTATACTGAGAGGTTTACATCTACACTGCGGTTTCAATGACAAAGTTGTTTTGAAATTTACTCACTGAAACTTGGCATTTTAATTTCATTTCTTTTAACTTTTTTGACCTATGCTTCTCCTTTGTTACATGGAGGAAATTGTGTTTTAATTTAATATAGTGACGGATAAGAATGTTCTACAGAACCATTGAAGAGTAACAGATAACGGCTTGACTAAACAAAGGAATCTTTGAGATATCACGGTATACCTAGCTTTTTCTCTGCACTAGCTAGTGCTCGAAAATTGAACATCTTTTAAAGGTCAAAAGAACTCTGTATTGAACAGCACTGCACGTACGGATTGACTACTTGTTGTTAATGAGCAAAGTTCCCAATTTTCTTTGTTTTAAAAATTACCACTTTGGGCTCAACACTAACCACTTACTGTGTATATAACTTTGAAGGCTTCTATTCGTATATGACACTATACAATTTGACTTTGGATTTTTCACTGCAGTTGATAAAAAATCTTTTAGCAATTTTCTGGATTAGCAGAACGATATTTGAAATGCAAAAGATGTAAAAAATTAAAAAATAAATGGATTACAAATAAAATTTTTTGTTTACACAAAGTAAAAAGTAATACTGAAGGACAAAAAAGAACGCCTAACGCCAATTTACAAGTTTTTTCTCTTTGTATCTTCGGATATTTTCAAATACACACAGGATTTTCCGCAGCCCTTCTTTGCAGCTCAGATTTGGTACAGTTTTTTTTTTTTTTTGCAAAGAACATAGTTGTGATATTTGCTTTTAAAAATTATAAAACCTTTATTGTTTTCTGTAAGTCTTACACTTAGTAAAGCCTAATTCAAATTTCTACTATAGCGATTCAGTGCTGATTTTACGAGCACCATTGCTTGACCTACAAAATTGTAAAAGCGGTTAAACTTCAATTGGTTCAGATAATTCACAATTAAGGCCCAAAAAGCATTGCAGCTTAGGTGTACTGCATATTGGAGGAAAGAAACAAATTGATTACCTGCTCTACCTAACACTTTCCAAATCTTTAGGCTATTTTAGGAGTGTTACACATTGCTGTTAACAGCCAAATTTACAGTTTTTACTTTTATGGCATTCAGTGAAAGCTATTAAAACCCTTTATCGATAGTCCAAAAATAATCTAGTTAAAGAATTGTTTTAGCAACCTAAAAATTTCTTGGAATTCAGTTGAAATGAGGACTTAATGTCGAATTATAAAGTTCTGTTTCTTATTTGTCTTCATGTCTTGTCACATTTTGCAAAAGATGCTTACGTATTACTTTCTTTTTCTTTTGTTTATATATATTTGAATGTATAATTTATATCTGTATTTCTAATTGAAGATTATCAGGGTAGAAGATTTAAAATCTAAGACCGTTGCCAAGGTACAGTTAATTGGCGTACCTGCGGGCTTTGACTGGTAGATGGGATTCTTTTTCTGTGTAACTGATCTGATCGTTGCGGGAAGCACAACTATGGAAAAAGGTCAATTAAAAATTAATGTTGGAATAATGAATGCAGCAGTTTAGGAAGTAGACAAAAATTTTTTTGTTGGGTTAAGAATAAAAGAATTTGTTGGTCGAACAAAAATAAGCAGCAAATTTGGAGTAGACTGTTTGGCCAGGTAAGCGGCGTGCATCTGGTGAATTTAAGTGTTAGTCAGAAAAAAAATTTTTGATTATTTTTTAGTTTCAAATTCTGTGATACTTACCAACTTGTCCTTTCTGTGCTTTTTCATCGATAGTCACAGTGGCAAAGGCAGTAGTCGATGGTTTGGTGACGCTGATAACTATTGTCTGCTTAAAAGTTTTAAAGTATATGTTTTCTTAAAGCATCATTTAATCATTTTTATTGGCAAAAAATTAGCACAAATTGCTGTGATTTTTTTGAAGGGAGGAATTGATCAACAATGAATTTAATCGACTTCTTAAAAGTGCTGTACAGGATAGTGGTTTTTCACTTACATCGGTTATAAAAGGAGTTGGTTCATCAGGTTCTTGAACTGAAACGGTTCACTATTAAACCGACGGTAAACTGATTTAAATAACTGTCGTAATAGGTTTTTGATTATGATGCGTCTCCTAATGAGTTTAGCATAAAATCATATTTTTGCTGTATTTCATTGTATAAAAAAATTAATTTTTTTAAAGACCAAATGAGACTAATTGGATGCTTCAATCAGTGATTTTGCAACTTTAAAAAAATTGCTAAAATATGCCGATTTGCATTTTTCTATCAAAATTTGACAGTCACTCAAAATATTTCTTCAAATGTAGTCTCAAAAGAATACTTGTGTACTTGCAAATAAAATTGTGCTGCACTTCTACATCGGTATCGTCCCAAAAACTTCCCTGTTTTGTCACGTTTAAAGTAGCGTAAATTACATTTGAACCGCAACAACCGTCAGGTTGTCCCATTTCCCAGTGTGTGTATTTAAAATCTTGATTGTCATCCCATACCCAGTTGTTATCTTTCTTTTCAGCTCCTAACCATACTGCCACTGGACCATCCTTATCCTTTTTGTCTTTGTTACTGAAGCTCTGTCCAACTAAGAAGTCTGAAAATTTGTTTCATTTATTATTTGACAAAATGACAAACGAAAATTTTGTAAATTTAAAGATTTAACATTTAAAAGGAATTTGGTGTATGGTGGTAAACGAGTATAACGACTGGCAATACCTTTCAACTTTACCAAATGGTTAACAAATTTAACTTGTTCTGCAGGTACCTCGAAAAGTTTATGTTGGCTACTTAAAAATGAAGTTTAGCAAAGTGTGACAATTTTATTCAGTCAAAAACAATTATTCGTTTTAGAATTGTACTATCTTTTAAATTACCCCCAATAAATACTGATTAACATTTATTAACATCCGCTATACAGAGGAAGATTGTTTGAAAATTCAACTCCCAAAACAAATTGTTTGTTAGTTTCAAATACACTGCGGTGAAACAATCTTTTGCACAGCATCAAACCTTTAATAAAATTTTCTTCTTCTAAATCTTCAAGCTGTAGAAGTGTAGCCGACTTCCCAGAACAAGATAAAAATGCTTCTCTCCGGTTTTTTTTATCCTGTCCCTAAATGCGATGGCTTTAAAAGTTCGACAAAACTGTGTCCTATCCTAACTTTATCTGACAATACAAAGCATTATTAAATGACACAGGTAACCATTTTGAATGTCTCAGAACTATTCGGTTACATTTTTAAGGCTTACAATGAAGTAGCAGGAGGATCTAAATGCTCGATAACCAGTGACACAGGAAAGTTTTACTGAAATTAATAAACTACAACTATTGGAGTAAATTCTCGAAAAAAAAAACTATACTGTAAACGTCAACAAATAAACAGTTGAAAAATTTTTTTTATTAATACCGACCACCGTAAGACAGAAACGAAGTAATAAATATTAAAAATTTACTGATGTTCTTTCAAAAGTACAACTTCTTATTTTTAAAAAGAAGTTTCACCTTTTTCTCACGCCTTGTTACTGGTCAACAATTTTTGTAAATTATGCTTCAAAAGATATTCTTGTTTGAGGAAATCTATAAACTTACTCTTTTTTTTGCAAATTACAATAGAGTTTTCAATTTTTTTTTGACACGGATATGTATGCCATAAGCCATAATTGGCTGCTAAAGCGCAATCATGGGTTGTTGACGGCTTACCACCTGACCAGGAATTAAAAATCAGTGGTCCTTCATCGACCCATTTCCATCTCGATGATTTGATTCTTTTTAATCCTAACCAAAATTTTTTTCCGTTAGCAATCTCTGAATGATCGTCTTTCAGTAACCGATGAAAAATTTATCTGGAAAGCTCTTTAACATACTAAGCTACGAATAGCTTAACTTATTCAAATTTATTTTCTTTAATTTATCATCTAAATATTAAAAAACAGCATTGTTAGGTTTAAACAAAATAATCGTGCTAAAACAATAAAATC